GGACGTTATTGGATCATTTGACACAACTTCCCCATAGATGGTACTATCATTATTAAATATTCTAAAGGTACAAACTCTACTGTGGTCATTTAACAGGGTCTTCTTGTTTTTAGGGAAAATATACTTTAAATTATTTAGGGATAGTAGAATATATAGAAGTTTAAATATTTGTATAAGTAAATTGTGGATATATTTTCTGTATGTAGATTTGTCTGTATGCATTGGCAGATGCAAAGTAAAGATAAAGCAAAGGGGCAAAGAATTAACAATTAGTGAACGTGTCTAAAGAATTTACAAGTTTCCTTCTTATATATTTGCAGCATTTGGAATCATTCCAGGTAAGAGTTTTTAAAAAGAAAAGTATTCAAGACCCTGAGAGGAGTAGATATATCAAACAGCAAATGTTTTGAAGACTATCATATAGGAGAAAGATAAAGATTTTGAGTCTAGCTAATGTTCCCTGTGTCAGCTTACTTGCTGTAACATCAACATGGCACATCTAAATGCTCATGGCTTGCATGAAAGACAGGAGTCTTGGGCAACACTTAGTGCCCTGACTAGTTGATTGCCCCCAAGTCAGCATCAACTCACAGCTGACCCTCGGAGAAAAGGCTGTCTTACCCACCCACCACCACCCCATCAGAGTTACTGATGGCTTCGAACAACTGGTCTTTTGGCTGGCAGATAAAACTCCTTACTGGACCACCAAACCTCCCTTACTGGACCACTAAACCTCCCTTAATTTAGTAAAAAGAGGTGCAAATGCTCTTGAGTTTTCAACAGGTAGAATCAATGAAAGGGCGATGGCATAAAAAATGAGCAATTAGAAGGACTTGAACTAAAGAGTAATGTATTTCCTAAAAGCTTTCAACGGCCATTGAAGACACAAAATGTTATTTAGTCAAACCAGTGTTATGGGTTTTGTGTGGTTCACCAGAAGCTAGTTGTGATCTTTTGCCCTTATTTAAACCTTCTCTTTTTGCAGGTGAGGAAATGGGTATCAAAACCACAAGGCAAAATGTGTAAGATAATGAAAGGTGTAAAAGGGTGTCAGTAGAGATCTCAATTCTAAGCTATTTTTAACAAAAGAAACAAATAGTCAGAGGTGTACTTCTGTACAATTTTGGGTAATATATAATTTTAAGCTGTTTACAAATAACATGTAATGCTTCAAATATTGCATAATGCTGATAATACATTTCTAGCAGAAATAAATATATTGCACTTAAAAAGAAACTTCATTAGTTGTTACTTCATGAATTAGGCTTATAACTTCTTTTTTCATAAAACATTTCCCATTCCCTTCCCCCCACCCCAGCACACACACTTTGTTAATGGTGACTGTTCTCACACAACTTGTTAAACAAATTGACACAGCAAACAAGAACTGTGAGAGCATTAAGAAAACCAAACCAAGATATCCAAATGTTATCCTTTAAGGAAAATAAAAGTTCTCCTAGGTTTCTGAAAAAACAAAACAAAAAACCCATCCCAAAGACAGTCAATTCATGAGAAGTAAAATACAACAATTTATATTTTTTTTGTCAAGATATATTAGAAGCTATTTCAACAAAATTTTGTGATCTCTTTTGTCCTTATTGCTGGGATACTTTAAGAGAAGGATGGGGTTGACATTACTTGGAGAAGAAACAAGGGCCAAAAAATACTTGTGGATTATATGCCTAATGAATATTTACAAATTAATTCTTAATTTAATCACATTCAAGAAGTATTGGGATATTTATTTCTGAAGTCTTTGGAGTTTGTAACCTTCCTTTTATTTTTTACAAAACTCCTTCCATTCTAAAGTAATATTAAAAAATGTTTTATAAAACCTATCATCTACCCAATCTCTTGTCAAATCACAAAAGTAGATCTCAATAAACTGTTCATTCCTTAGGGCTTGGTGAAGCGGGTCAAACAGGATGTCATTACTTTTAGATACTATAATGTGCTTATGACAACCCTGCATTTATACCAGATAACCTACAACTCATGCTTTTTATTATATAATTGACTTTACACTAATTATCTCATTCTTATAATTATTTTTCACAGAATAGGATTTGGAATTTAGATATTCATTTTCCAGTGAGTTAAATAAGAATCAGTAGCCAGGAAAAAGGGGAGGGGGGAAATCAAGAATGAACAGGAGGGTGAAAAAGAATAAACAGCCCGAATGATTCTTTCAACCTCAAAGAGGCCAGTTAAAAAAACCTTACAGTTGCCATTTAGTGTAACTCACGCTGACCCCACCTGTGGCAGGGAGAAGTGTCAGACTTTTGTGACTGACTTTATGGAATTAGCTTACCAGGATTTCACTATAAGGTGCCTCTGGGTAGACTCAAACCTCCATCTTTTCTGTAAGCAGTGAGTGTTCACTGTTTACACCAACAACAGACTCCCAGAGAGGTCCAGATGGGGTCAGTTTCTATCCATCCCCTAGTTTCTATGGTTCCAGCAACTCTAATTAGGTTCAACTCCATTTTACTTGTGCTTCTATTCACTTATTCAAATCATACCAAATACTTCAAAGACACATCCAACTAGAACAGTAGGTAGGATTTTGCAAGAGTATGCTCTGATATTTTAGTGGATGCTTTTCTCCAAGAACTATAGTAATTTTAGACTTATATTGCTTAACCACAAAATGAAATGATGAATACAGAGAACACTGATGCAAAATTGTATTTAGCAAAAGTACACAAACCTACTTTTGGACACACAGAACGGGAGAAATGTCAAAATAGTACAGCAGTAATCCTTTTGTTCTCTTTGGAAAGATAATTCAAACATGATTCACTTCAGTAGGCCAGTAATTTATCTAGGTATTAAGTAGCATTATGTAAAATAGCATCTTTTATTATTCTTGCTTAAGCAGCAATACTCTGTATTAAAAGGACCGCTGGCAACAGACCAACTATTAAATATGAAACCCTCAGCTGTATGGATATTTAGTTTACATATTGTTGCTGCTTTTGAAAAGTAATGCATGTTTGTGCTATGTTTGAAAACAAATGACCAATGGATAAGGAAGTAACATGAAGAAGTCAGAAATTAGCCTATGGAGTCTTCTGTTACAAGGTATAGAGATGCTTTGTTAGTGTAGCCCATCCATCTTCACAAATCCACTTTGAGATACTATGGAGAAAGTAAGTGCAAGGTCCAACAATGGCATCACATAGACAGGCTCTGTAATTGTGCTGTGTTTCACAGGTTGGAAACACCCAAAAGAAGGCATCTGATATGGTAAAACTTACCATAACTTACTAAAATAAAATCCTACTGGAGCCTGATATGGAGCCTTTCTCCTCAAATATGCATCTACTTTAAACAGTGGTATTTTCCATCTTTTTTTAAAAGCAGATTCAATATTTTTGCATATAAAGCAGAATAGAATGAATATTACATATAATAACGAAATTAAAAGAAGAGTTTTGGGGACTCTTCCTTCCTAAGAAGACAGATGATACCTTGTAACTGGTAGGCATATCTAAGTTAAAAGGCAAATTAATTTGATTGAGTCTCCATCATATAGTAATAAAATGTTATAGCAAAGTATCAGATATATTATCTCAATTATAAATGCTTAGATATAAGTTACTCAAAGAATATACAAATTACATATACCTAAAATACAACTAATTATTGTTATAAACATTAAACAAAGCTTGAAGAAGGTATCAGTTGAGAATAAAATGGAAAGATGCTTCAAATTTACAAATAAGCACTACCAATGTTGCAATGTTTCGGGGCATCCCTTACATGAAATTTCATGTTATGAACCTGGATTAACAGTAAAGACTCACTGAGGGTAAGAAAGAAAGAAAAAGAAAAAAAAGGACAAAGCAATTAAATGAACACAGCTTTTCATGAATTTAAAGGACATTGATATCTAGCAAATTGTGATGTAATAGCCTCATAACCAGGATTCACAAATTTGTCTCAGCTGGTGACAGCAAATAAGTAGCAACATTGTTCAGATTTACCAAAGATGCAGACAGAAAATTTGGCCCAGTGTATTTTAACACCCATAAGCACTTTCAAGTGAAAAAGAAGGGACCTTTGGTACCCATGACAGGGAAGTTCCTTCCAGAAGAAGGTAGTCATCTTTTTATTGCAGTTGTTCTTGAAGAAAAGCCTCACATAGCATCATGCACTCTAGGCTCCAGGTGTTCTTCAGTGAATGAGGAAGCAATGTTGTTTAGAATGCCAGCCCAGAAAAAGAAAACTTCAGCTTTACAATGTAACATATATAGGATCTTGCTTTACAATTTTCTGTGCAAGATTTTTCCTACAATAATGGCAACTATTTAGAGAATAAGGAAGAAAGAAGACTTTGAAAACTGAGCTTGTCAGATACTGGCCCCTCAACGTTACAAAAGAATTTTGTGAGGTAATTATAATCTATTCATCCACAGACCAGGATACATTAGCATTATTTCAGCTCCTTTCCCAGAAAACTAACACAAAGGAAAACTAAACATGCTTAGGCTATAGCACTACAAATATCCTTCTATTGCCTCTTATTTTCTACAGGAAGAGATTGACTTAAGTTAAACATTATGATCAGTATGTTATATAATATTGCCTCTGAAAAATTATCTTTACCGGTGGAAGCAGAAAGAAAACCTATACACATTGATTTTATACATTACTGCATCAACACAGCATTTTTTAACCACAAGGAAGAATACACATAAGGTTCGTCTGGCCTGCATTCTTGAACTTTCTGGGCAAGGTGATATCCTACCAGCAGCAAGGTTTGGCTGAATCATTACTGAGCCAAACAGCTGTCCCAGAGCTACAGATCAGTCTCAGTCTCTGGTGTATTTTCTCTGTGGAAGGTTTACTGTGAGTCCAGCTCTCCCCTTTAACAGATCCCATGTCCTTAGAGAGTCCCTGCTCTAACACCTCATATCCCGACCACTCAACCCTCTCCTATCCTTCTATACCCAGACTGCACATTCTGGGTCTGGACTCTCCTATTTCTGGAACAGTCATACAAATGGTGTCATCACAGCAGAGGAATGGCGCAGTCCTTGAATGGCAGCGTAGGGCCCCTGCTGAAAGTAGTGATGGTATCGGGGCATGTGGAATGAAGGGAATGTTGGGCCACTCCCTTGCATGGAGCTGGCAATGGCCGAAGGGGTCAGAGGCATCCCAAGTCGGCTATATGGAGGCAGAGAGCCCTGGATGGGATGAGGAATGGGTGTTGCTATAGATGCAGTGCTGGTACCAAGAGCAGTCAGGGACTGTGGATGCTGAAATCCAGGAAAACTTGTTGAAGATGATACCCAGGAGGTGAGAGACAAGTTATCAGAGGTTGTAAAGGCTGAGCCTGGAAAGAAAAACAACTCATCAGCATTGAGACTTAAATAGTAATCCATTTTCAAAATTGTTTAACATATTTATCATTTCAAAATGATGAACTTGTTAACCACTAAGCAAATCTATGTTTACAGATATTATTTGCATTACTATATAGAATATATCATTTACATATTGTATGAAGGGGAAAAGAGAGCATTGATGGATGGTGGAATTCCTGCCTTCCGTGCAAGAGACCTGGACTCAATTCTTGGTCAGTGCACCTCATTGCATAGCCACCCCCCATCTGTGAGTGGAGGTTTGCATGTTGCTATGATGCTGGAGAGGTTTCAGTAACATTCAGTCTAAGGAGGACCAAGATAAAAGAACTGGTGATTCACTATCGGAAAATTAGCCAATAAAAATCCCATTAACCACGGTGGTACAATCTATAACCAATCATGGAGAGGCTGCAGCATTTTATTCCACCATGTAGGGACAGCCAGCTAGCACCAGTAACATGGAAGAGACAATTAACTAAACAGAAAGATAACAAAGTCATTAGATGGCCTGTATACTCTACAAAAGGAGATAAACACTATGAGCTTGAGTGTAATGACCTGACTCCCTTTTTCTGACCTCTGTAGCATCTCCTCAAAGAAAGAGGGGAAAGCATCAACAGTGCTGGCTGATTTCCAAGGCCACAGTGAGAACCCACAGGGGATGTCTTAACCTGCAACATTTACAATTTACAAGACCTGACACAACATTTTCTGATTGTGTATCAGTGACTAGTTTGAATTTAGTTATAGCAAAGTCAGATGTTTTAGTTTAGAAGTGATGATGGTGCTATCCCATATTATTAACATTAATAAATGTGAAGGGCTCTCTTCCTACACACATTTCTGTTCCAAGGGCCGCATACTCCTCTGGCCATGTTTCTTGGGATTCTGTGCCTAGGTGGCAGAGGTTCCTGCTTGTGACTGTGACAGAAACTTTTTAGCATTCTCTCCTTCTCCCATGGGATGGGTCACCATTTTTACATAATGCCCTTCTCTAGGAGAATTCTCTTTCTGAAAATATTTTATTTTCATAGGGCCACTGTTGTAAAACAGGACTGACACTGGGGTTGAGGGAAGACAGAGAAGGAGGGGAGGAATGATGTATACTGCATTGAAACAGATGAGGGAAAGAACTGTTTAAAAGGGATATATGATTGGGTATTATTGTCATGACAGGAGTCAAAAATGAAGGAAGGCTGCACAGTGGAATGGACTTAGGGGGAGGGATTGAATAATAATGAAAGAGTTTTTCTTTTACTATTCAAGGAAAAGAGTGAATGGGGAGAGGGGGTGGGAAAGGAGAAAAGTACAACAATGAATGATTGGAAATCCTAAGTCTCTGTAAACTTTCATTAAAATTAATAAAAAAATTTTATTTTCACAAAATATTCCCTCATCTTCAGATTATAAAATGACGCTTTTGTAGTGAATCATGGACAACAAAGTACTAATCCCTTTTACTGGACAATAAAATAATCTTCAGGCTGCACAAATATTTAACTTTTTTCTAAAGAAAATAATAATAATAATAATAAATAATAATAACTATTGTGAGAGTCAGCCTCAGTGAGAATTTTCTCCTAACAAGGCTCACTAAATACTTTCTGGGTATGGCAATACAAACAACTAGGATTAGAAGTTTCAGCAACCTCCTGTTCTCCGTGTTCTTTTAGGTGTTCCTACTATCAGTACTTCCACAGCCAAGAAGCTGTCTTACCTCGACTTTGTGAGGTCTGACTCTCATCTCCCAGGATATCCTCCTCTCCATAGGTACGAATGGGTGAGCGGGCATAGGAATGCTTTTGGATCAGGCTTTCCACACTTTCCCTGTGTTAGAGAATGATATGTCATGAGTATGTTGTTGTTGTTGTGTACCATAGAGTTGGAACTGACCCATAGCTGACCCTCAGTGGGTAGGGTCAGTTAATTGCTGCTCCTGTGGAGCAGCTGGTGGACTTGAACCGCATACCTTCAGGATTGCAGAGCAGCTAACACCTGAAGACATAGAGAATCTTACTGATATTTTTCTAATTGGTAACAACATTTCTTTTCAGATACAAGTAACCACCCAAGGGAAAGAAGATATTAAAAATATGTCTGTTTATTCTATTGGAAACTCCTCAGCAACATGGGTTCAGGAGATAAAGGCAGGCAAACAGCTAAACAGGCAATCCTCTGAAATCCCAGAATACAACGGAGCAAAGAGCTTGATGGCAGAAAAAAAATAATAAGTGGATGAATTTGCTACAAGAATCGATAATGGAACTTTTCATTTATTTCATCAGGTAATGAATATAAAACAATCAACTGATACAAAATTTAGCCATTCATTATCTCATTATCAGAAGAAATGTTGGCCAAAGTTCAACATATTAGTAATATTTAAAAAAAAAAACAAACCCAAACCAAACAACTCAAGGTTCATTAACAAACCGAACAAATGTATATAGGATATAACAAAGCAGACAGATGAAATAATGGAGAATTTGGGACTTCTGTGTGTCATAGACATCCATATTTGTACCCATATTTGAAGATATTCTTACTCCCCATTCCTATAAAGCTTTGTTGTTGTTGTTGTTGTTGTTAAGTGCTGTCTAATAAAGTATGATATAGAGACTGTGAACAATTGATCTGATCTTTATACCATCTTTATTATCCTCAACACATTTGAGTCCATTGCTACAGATATTGTATTAATCCATCTTTGATTTTGTAATATACTTTATTTCTTCTTGCATGTTTTCTTCCCCTACCTCCAGCCCATCCCATGATGCACCACGTGTTCCAGATTGATCTTACACATAAAATGCATAATCATATATTCCTGTCAGACAGTTCTTCCTCTCATGTGTTCATTATCTATCCACTCTTTCCTCATTCTATCCCCATCTCCAATGCCTGTCCTATTAACAGTGGTGTTATGCAGTATTTTTCCTTTTGTGACTGAGACATTTCACTTAGCATAATGTACTCCAGACCCCTACGTGTTGTGTAATGTTTTATGAATTCATTACTTTTTAATGCTGTGTAGTATTCCGTTGTGTGAATGTACCATAGATTTTCTGTTCATTTGTTTATTGATGGGCACCTGGGTTGCTTCCAGCTCTTTGCTATTGTGAATAACTCAGCAATAAATGTAAGTGTGCACACATCTGTTTGAGTCATGGCTCTGGTTTCTTTAAGGTATATTCCCAGTAGTGGAATTGCTGGGTCAAGTAGGATTTCTATTTCCAACTTTTGGAGGAAGCCCCAGATCACTGTCCATAGTGGTTTTATGATTTTGCCTTCCCATCAGAAGTGAATAAGAGTTTCAATCTCTCCACAACCTTGCTATCATTTGTCATTTGTTCAGTCCATCTTGGTGAGAGTCTTCTTCTCCTTCGCTGACCCTCCACCTTTCTAAGTATGATGTCCATTTCCAAAGAAAAGCCTCTCCTAACAACAGGTCTAAAATGTAAGAAGTTATAACATCTTTGCCTCCAATGAACACTCAGCTGTGTCAGAAAGTCTCAAATTCTCCATTACCTCAACTATCCATGTTGTTTTATCATAGCCTGTATGCATTTTCTATGCTTGTTAACGAATGATGATTTGCATTATTTGTTTTTATTTAAAAAAATGATTATATTTATTTAAGTTTCTGGATAATTTAGTAATTTTAAATACTTTACCAAAAGCCCAAACAATATCAACAGCAACTGTACACGTGGATCTCATCTGATAGAGAAAACAGGAATTAGTTTACTATATCTGTGGAAAGAGATTTTGATGAATCTCAGTATCAGTAGTCAAAACAAGGCCAGGGGTTGCTATAGAGTAGACCATCAACTACTCACATGCAAGATCAAATTGAAGGTGAAGAAAATGAAAATAAGTCCATGAGAACTAAAATATGTCCTTGAGAGTATCCCAAGAGAATTTAACATTCGTATTAAAAATAGATTTGACACACTGAACACTAATGTGTTCACCAGATGAGTTATGAAATGACTTCATCCATGAAGAAAGTAGAAGGCTATTACAAAGATGGGGAAGAAATAAAAGACCAAAATGAATGTCAGAAAAAACTGACATTTGCATTGAAATGAAAAGAAACCAAACCAAAAAATTTCAAATTGCACCTCTAGAAGACAAAGTATCATAATAAAATGTGCAAGGATCTGAAGTAAGAAAACTCCAGGGAAGAACATGTTTAGCATTTTTAAACTGAAGAACAAATTCAAACCAGAGTTGCAACACTGAAGGAATCTATGGGCAAAATTTTGAATGATCCAAGAAGCCTCAAAAGAAAATGGAAGGAATACACAAAGTCACTGTACTAAAGGAATAACTGAGGCTATTTCAGGAAGTAGCATATGATCAAAAGCCAACTGTATTGAAGGAAGGAGTCCAAGCTGCACTGTAGGCAGTGGAAAAATAAGGCACCAAGAACTGATGGAATAGCAATTGCGGAGTTTTCAGAAACAGATGAAACCATAAGCATGCTCACCAAAAGTATGGAAGACAGCAACACGACCTACTGACTGGAAGAAGTTCATATTAATTCCTATTCTCCATAAAAGAGATCCAAGAGATTGTGGAAATTATCAAATACTATCATTAATATCACACACAAGTAAAATCTTACAGAAGATTATTTAATAATGGCTGAAACATTTACAGGGAACTGCCAAAAATAAAACAGTTTATTAATTATACAAAGGCATTTGACTGTGTAGAACTTAACAAATTATGACTAAAATTGTGTTCACATGAAAGCTACAGGAAGCAATTGTGGATGGCCTGTCCTGCTTTGTAATCTTTCTTAACCTGGGAGATTCTGCTGATATTTGAAATAACAATGGCATAGTTTCCAGGGTCACTATGAGTCAGAGACAACTCAATGTCACCACCTAAAGAGAAAAAAACCAAAACAACTCATCACCACATATAGTAAAACTTACTGGTATCAGGCAAAATCTACATCCAATGAATTGGTGTATAATGGTTTAAAAAAATAAGGTCATCTACATTTATTGAAATAAAGTTATCTCTAAGATACAATAATGGAACATGACAACAACAGAAATATACATAGCATATTTTCATTTGGAATTTTTTTTTAAAGACTATATATAGCTGGTAGCCTAGTGGCAAGAAGTTGGGCTGCAATCCTGTGCAATTAACTGCCTGTGAAAACCTACCAGATGGACAGCTACTGTGGAGTACATGATCCAACAAAAGCATATCATACACATAGGCACAAACTGGATAGCGTTTTACACATAGATAGATTAAGGCCAGATTTCAATATTGGCCTTAGTTCCACATGGCTTCCATGACCATGGCCCACAGTCACTGCTGGGTTTTTGTTCTGCACATACCACAGTCATTGCATATATATTCCTCTCATGCCACAGAGGAAGAACCCTTTCTTCGTCAGAAGAAACATGTATAGAAATGGGGTTGGCCAGGCATCAAATGGTAAACAGATGCACAGAGAAAAGACAAAATTTATAGTATACCCAGAACGTGGAGGAAGGCTTCTCCAGAAGGAGAAGAAATTGAAAAAGAAACTCAATTCCCAGCCTCCATTATCGAGAAATGGCCTACCCAACGCTTTTGATTAAGCAGTCCAGGTGGAGGTGAGAAGATGAATGATAGATCAATTTTCCATTTCCCAACAGTAATATTTACAGAATTACAGACATGCAAAATGATGTCTGCAAGGCCTAGCTCTATGGAGTGTAACTAGGAGCAGTAGTTCTTAAACTTTCTATCCATTTGAACTATCTGGTTTTCTTTTAAAAAACAAATAACAACAACAAAAACCACAAAAAGGTACAAGGAGGTATAATTAACAAACAATAAAATGGCACATATTTAAAATGGACAATATGGTAAACTCAATATACATACATACTAGTGAAACCAGTATTTTCCTTGCATGCGATGTTAATGATATTGTTCAATAGTTTCCACACTCTGCTGGATCGCCTTTCTTGGGAAAGACAGCTGTCCTTCAAATTTCTTGGCACAGACTGATGAGTGCACCCAAGGCTGTATCTCTTAATTGAAACAAGTCAATTGGCATCCCATTGATTCCTGGGGCCTTATTTTTGCCAGTGCCTTCAATGCTGCTTCCACTTCCTCCTTTATTACCACTGGCTCCTGCTCATATGAAAATTTTCAGTGTCAACCAGTTCTTTTTGGTACAGTAATTCTGTGTATTCCTTACATCTTCTTTTGATGCTTTCTGGGTCATTCAATATCTTTCTCACGGCATCTTTCAATACTGCAACTCAAGTTTGTTTGTTTGTTGTTGTTGTTTTAAATTTTATTTTATTATTTTGTGTGTGTACTGTCAAATCGGATCTGACTGGTACAGGAGGAGATTGCCCTTCCTTCTCTGGCAGAGCATCTGGTGGATTCGAACTGCATATCTCTGGGATTGCAGTGTAGCTTCTTGCCATTAGGCCACGAGAGCTCCCTGCAACTCAAGTTTTACATTTGTTTTTTCAGTTCTCTCAGCTTGAGAAATGCAGAGTGAGTTGTTTCCTTTTTATTTTCTAATTCCAGCTCTCTACACATTCTATTATAATACTTTGTTCTCTTGAGCTGCCCTTTGAAATCTTCTGTTCTATTCTTTTACACGCTTCTTCAGAATGTATTCACTTTGGTTTGGCTTCTTAATGGTCTAGTGTAATTTTAGAATATCTTCTGACACCCATGTCATTTTTTTCTTTCTCCTCTGTTTTTCAAATGACTTTTTGCTTTCTTGATGGATGATATCCTTGATATCTTCCCATGATTCATCTGGTTTTTGATCATTGGTGTTCAGTGCC